TGGTTTTTTTTTTTTTTTTTTTTTGCTGGTTTGCATGCCTCACTCATTGACTCGTTCACCAAACACCTAAACCCACACCTAAGAAACACCAGAAAGTTTAACGATCTAATAAAAACTGTAAACTAAATAAGACGAGTTTGAAGTTTAAATTCATACCTTTGTTATGCTTAATACAATGTAAGATGAAGCAAAAGTTAAAAAGAGTACCTGAAGACAACCATCTTTGCCAGAAACTTTAATTTTTCTTCCCTGGAGCCCAAGACTATCTGCGTTCATAAATTAAGTTTCCCTTTTGATATGTGAGCAAATATTAAGTGTTCTTGTTTAAAAGGGTATAAGATAGTATAAGATAAGAAAAGATAGTATAAATAAATGTTGATCACCTTGGTTTACATCAATGACTTCCTTATTGCTTAGAATTTCCAAAGTTTGTGGAGACATGTTTCTCACATCACAACCAATCAACAGAGGGGCCTGCATGCACATTTGGATGAACTCAAAACGTGCATGTTTGATAACCATTTGACTTTTTGTTTTTAGAAAGTAAATCTTATTATGCTATTTTTATCTGAGTTCCTTATTTGTTAATATTCAAATAGTATTCAAGCTTCTGATCTGATCTGTTGGCCGTATACCTAAGAAAATTTTCAAATTCTATCGTTACAGTAAAATTGAAACCTTCATTAAAGCCCATATGCTAAAATGGCTTCTGTATTCTTGATAGGTCATGCCACCATTGCCAACTTCCAACATATCTGGATCTGTCCACGCACACATGGTAAGATGGGAATTAGAGATCAACTTAGAGAACAAATGGATGAAGTTGAATGGGTTTCAAACACAATCAATCTCATACCATTCCAACCACCAGGTCCTGCATACTCTGCCCACTTATCGTTGATATCTGCAATTCTAGTCATGCTTCAACCAAAACAAAAAACAATTTTTTTGAAGTTAATGCAACATTTTAGGGGTTATTTATGGCAATAATGGGAAGATTTTAGGGTTAGATTTAAACCTAACCTTTCCCATGAATCACTTATATCAATTGTTGTACGCCAACTATTTCCAACTCTGGGAGCCCATAATGCCGGATCATCAACGCCCCTACCACACACCATAGTAGATAAAACATTAATTACTATCTAAAAAGTCAATGGTTCAATTCTTAATTGTACAATTTATAACTAAAATAGTAACGATTAAGCTTCTTAATAATAATAAAAAATCATTTGTGTCCTAGAAAATCATTACATTATAGACATAAACCAATGTTTCACCAGAACATCGGAAGAGTAGGAACTAAATGGTAGAAGCCAAATCATTACATGCATACTAAGATTGAACTAAATGGTAGAAGCCAAATCATTCCAAGTAAACCCTAAATCATTACTTCGATCATATATGTGGAAGAGAGGATGAATGTACCATTCACAAATTGAGTAGAAAATGTTTCGGCCAGTTGAATTTAGGGCATCACGCATTGGTGGGTATCTGAAAATGAGAGAAATAATATACAAACAAATCTTCCAATTAATCTATAATCAAAGAAGCTGATGGTCACTAAATTAATTGAGGTTTGAAAATGAACCTTTCTTCTGGACTGATTCCCATATCATAACAGTTATCATACTTCAAATAATCCACCTCCTGAAGAAAAAAACAAAATCTCGAGACTGGGAATCCGTATTTATAAACTTAATTTTCAAAAAACTAGAAACTTCGTTACATTTATATTTTTACAAATTTGTTAGTATCCATTCGATAAACAGAATAGTTGAATATCGAAGCTAGGTTATAAGATGGAAATTACTCACCCAAGATGCTAGCATCATTGCATCCCAAAGTTCAAAGCCGAGCGACCCTGGTCGCTTCTGGCAAGTTAATTGCCTTGTTCAACAGTATGGCAAGTTAATGAAACAAGCGATCGAGAGAGAAAAAAAGACAATATTAAAGTTTTTTTAACATTAAAAGATGAGCTAGACATCGGTCGTACCCAGCATCGCCATATATTCCAAGCTTCAAGCCTTTCCCATGTACATAATCAGCAAGGGCTTTAATCCCTGAGGGAAAAGTTTTGAGATCAGGAGCCAGAAAAACCTGCACAACCAGTGGACACTTCACTCATTCATTCATTTTATAGTTTAATTAGTTGATTTGTTATGTTGAGCTAAAAAGGTTCGCATAATCAAACATTCAATTCATTTGTCGACCTTTCTCGTATTTGTTGAGTTTTGAGAGAAGATTTTGATTTTGAGATGTTATAAGTTTTGAGTTATGTTTGTTTGCTCAGAGATTGACGTAAGAATTGAACAAGAAAAAAAAAAAAAATGAAGGTATGTATATGAGTTAATTCTCAACCCAATATAAATTTTAAAATTTGACACTTTTGATATTAAAACTTTTTATATTTATGTTTAGACATTAAAAAATAGGACAACTTATTATACTTGTTTAAAACTATGATAATTTACGAAGAGAAAAAAATAGAAAAATTGGAGCAGTTTTAAGATTGGAGATTGAACGAAAAGGATCGGGAGAGCATCAAATAAATGAAGGAAAATTGGAAAAGTACTTGTTCATAAATTGAAGGTAGTCGAGAGAGTAGGGAGTGAAGAGGGAGATATTTTTTAAACATGATAGTGATACTAAAAATTTTAAGTTATTTTTTAAATAAATTATTAATAATTTTTATTTAAAAACTAATATTTTTTTAAGAAATAAATTAGTTTAAGAGTAAAATTGTAAAAATATTTTAAAGTATATTTTATATAATTTAGCAAATATATATATATATATATATATATATATATATAATTTTTATGTTCATATTATATATTTTTATAAATGTTGGAACTAAACTTATAATTTTTCGCAACAAAATATATATATTCTTGGAATAGAATAGTAAGGAGAGATTACCAGAATTCTCTGTTGGTTGGCCCAGCAATCATCTGCCATTGTTTGAAACATATGGTAAATTTTAAAATATAACCTAAACTAAATTACAAGTATAATTTTAAAATTTTATATTCTGATTTTTTTAAAAAAATATTTAATAAATTTACATAAAATTTTAGTTTTATATTTAATAAATTGAGTGTCATTCAACTATTTTTTAAAATTCAAATAGCAACCAGAAGCTTTTAGAAAAAATTCAAATCTATTATATACAAAATTGAAAGTTTAAAGATTTACTATACACGTATGCTCCATGGTCAAATACAAAATGGAAAGTTACAGAATATAAATTGGTCAAATACAAAATGGAAAGTTACAGAATATAAATTGAAATATTACCATTTTAATTTAATCGAGATAGAAGATGTTTGTGGTAAAAGCAAATGATGGAAAAATTACCTATGTTGACGTATACATAGCCTAACTCAGCCAGTCCCGTAGCAACAAGTGCATCCGCTGTAAAAAGGAATAAATAGTTGTAATTTCAATAAATTTTTAGAATAGTCTTGGTTAACCTTTCTTATTCTAATAACCTCCCTTCTTAAAATTTTAAAATGTGAGCTCAACTCTTCAACTAACATAAAAAGAGATAAGAGATTCAAATCTCTCATCGTACGTATTGTTAAACAGGTGGAACGAACCCGAACCTAAAAAGAGAGAATACCAGTTTCTTTGATGACCCTTTCATCTATACTGCAGCCAAAATGGTTCCAACTATTCCATCTGATAAGCAAAAGAAAAGATGGCATAAAAACACTGTTATTAACACTGTTATTAGAAAGAAAAGGGATGAGAGATTGAGAGAAAGGGAAAGAGAGAGACCCCATGGGAGGAGTTTTTCCCAAACCATTGTCGAGCTGCAAAATTCCATATTTGGAGTTGTTATAAATTTGAAGGTACGATTTATGGAAGCCATGAAATGCTAGCTTTTCGGTGTGTTCGGTTGCCTCATTGAATAATTTTTTGTGAGAGGACGACAAGGAGAGGAGCAAAGTAAGTAAGAACACTGATACCATCCTTACTCTCTTTGCCATCGATGGAAACTCCAATTTCGAAAGGGAGAGATCTCTGGTTCTTATCAAATTCAGAGCCATTAAACTCGTTGGGTTGCATTGAATCTCCCAACCAATTTCTGCTGCACAAATTAATGCCATTCACCCATTGAGTTTTTGCCAAATGGTTCTTTTGTTCAAGTACGAGCCCACCAAAATTAATAGAATTGTAATGCATAAATTCATAGAGTTAGATCGGCAGACAAGCTGTTCTAATGCCATTTAAAATCGACGTGTTACTTTTCTCAGATTTTAAATTTTAGTCAACATGAAGATAATCAACATTTTCATTAAATCATTAAGAAATTGATAAAATAGGATAAATAGATAAAATAAAATATTAAACAATTTATCAATATTTTCAACATTTTTATAAAGTCAAGTCCTGGAAATTTTCTCCCCTACACGAAACGGCAACCTACATATTTCAAAGGCTAAAGGAAAGATGTCACAGACACAAACATACACCTGCTGTTGGGATGGAAATTAAATGTCATAAAGGGGTATGGAATTAACAATCTTAATCTAATTTTCATGCTGCTTTCTCGTTGCCCCTTCCCTATACCATATGATATGATTAAAGCAGGAAAGACGGACAGTAAAATGATGATTTAAGAAACAAATTGGAGTATCCAAACAAGAAACTGTAGAAAAATCCATTAACTAACTCAATAAACCTGTTCTTTACCTCCCACGTTCCTACCTGCAAAATTCTCGGGTAAGTTTCCATATTCATTCTAAAATTCACTTCCATCCCCAAAGAAAACGACCAAACTATAATAGAGCGACTGTAAAGATTCCTACGTATTGCTCGTAGAAGCCATATAAAGGTTTCTTCTATACACGAGCAGGAATTCCAGCTCCAGCAGGACGAGGTGCTTGACCTGGCTGGCCAGGCTTTGGCTGATCATCCTGAAACAAACACAGAAACGGGAAAAGGTAACAAACCATCAGAGGCTACTCCGAATATCAGTATTGCCGAATAAAAAAATTATCTGTTGTTAGGAAGTAAACATGCTTAAGTGCCTCTAAATGGACCGACTAACAATCATGAGTGGTACTCACTAACAAGTAGAAGATATGTAGTTGATCTTCGACACGAGCATCAATAGCATTACCAAATAGTTGGTATCGTCATTAAAATATACATAATCCAAATGAATCAAAGTAGATCCACTTCATCAAATTCATTGTTCATATGATTATTCTGTTATGAATCAAAGTTTAAAATATTTTATGCAAAGACTAACCCTGCGTCTGATGAAACGCTGTGGTGGTTGCCGATTTCTTCTATCAGTACGAGATCGAACTCTCACAACATGTGAGTGAATGGCACAGGAAACACAGTACTGCATCTTAGCATAAAGCTTAGGAAGAGTGTATTCTGCACAGAGAACAAAGATCTATATCAGACATTGAACAAAAAGATTGTTGTTAAATGAAATAAAGCAACCAAAAGCTAGCAGGAGAGGACAGAACAACTTACGGTCATAGACACAGGCTTCTTGGACATCCCTAACAGCAGCCTGCTCCACAATATTCCTCACGAGAAACCTCTTAATAGCCTTGTCCTATCCTCATCAATCAAAACTCATTTAGTTAGATTTAATCAACTTCAGCTCTTAGCTAAAATAAAATTGAACTTCTCTTGCTCAATAGTCAATGGACACTCCAAATTCACTCCGTCCAAAACTATAGTGTGATTAGGAACCCTTACGGTCCAAAGAAGACATAAGTCTAGAGGCTAAAAGTTAGAATCTTGTCTCCAGGAAAGCCTCAAGCCTAATAAAGCATCGAGTTTTGGAATGCTTACGGGAATTCCATTTTTTAAACAAAAAAACTTATCCTATAAAATGTTCTGAAACAAAAAATGCTATCAATGTGTTTCATCGAAAAGAAATTTAAAATGTAGCTAAACATCAAGTCTAGCTCTTTTACCTATAAAATATCACCTAAACAATCTTTTAACAACAATACAAATACAAACTCATATAGATACTAACATATCCCCAGAACTTGGCGGATACTTATTTCTAGATCAATCAATCACAAATACTCCAGTAATACTAGCAATAAAGCATCAAAACAAAAGTAAAAACAAAATAACACAATTCCGCAAAGGAAACATTAGCACAACGTATAGATTTGACCGCCGCCATTAAACTACTTAAAAATGCAAGCAAAAAGCACGCAGAAAGATGAGTAAAACAATAACCTTGGGGCAGCATTTGCCGCAGTTGGAGCACCTGATGAACTTAACGTGTCCACGGCCGTGCTTGTTACGTCCACCGTTCCTGCGCTTGAAAGTCTGGCAGAACCAAAAGCAGAAAATAAATGAACGGAGAAGGATTTAAAACAAGAAGATTCAGAGGAAAAGGTGACGGGCTAATGATCTTACCATTGTTTAAAAGCTGCAGAGCTTTCAGACGAAGCAGCGAGAGAGAAAATGCAACGATTAGGGTTTTTTTGTGGGCAAATGCTGATTGTAAAAGTCGAAAGAAGTTCCCGGTAAACGCTTTATATAGATCTCCGGTCCCGCGGGCCAAACCAACACCGAGAAAATAAAATTTGCAAAAAGACCCCTCAACTATATAGATTTGTACAATCAGGCCCTCAAATATTCAATTTGATCTCATTTATCTTAAATTAATAAAATTTTACAATTTAAATATTTAAAAATACATAAACTATAAGAATTAAACGAATTTAAGAAAAAAAAAACTAATGTAAATAATTTGGCGTATTTGTTTTATGGGCATAGATATAAAAATTTTAAATTTTAATGCCCAAAATAACCAACGTTTATGTTTAAATATATAAGATATTTAGTACATGGGATTAAATGTTTGTGTTTTTTTCTAAACTAAAATTAAATAATAACATACAAAATATTAAAATAGCATTTTTAATTGTAAATAATAATATTGTGAGTTTTTAAAAGTAAAAACAAACATCTAAAAAATCATTACAAAAAAACTCACAAAAACGTCTAAGTATCATCGACCACATGCCTTTTATAATTTATGATAAAGAAAAATAAATTTGTAACTAAGTCAGAATATACACATACATAGGATTAAATCTAATTGTTTATGTCACATTAATTTTAAAAAATAAAATTTAGAAAAAAACAATTTTATACCGTTCGGATCCTTGTACGTAGTCTGATGTAGATTCAACATAATGTAGCTTACAGTTTTATACGGTTGAATAACATAATGTAGCTTACAGTTTTATACGGTTGAATGATTGTCTGATCAAGAAAGCATTTCCAAGCATTAAACATAGAAAAGCTATAAGAGGTGGATTGATTGAGACGAGTCGAGGATGCACTTATACAACTCTTACCATTTGAGAAAGGAGCCAACGTTTATTCTAATAACCCCTTTAAGAGTGTTTGATAAGAAAGCATGACTGAGTTCAGATGAAAGCAACACAAAGACTTTATATGTCCAAGGTGAATCATTGGTTGATTGATTGATACCATTACCATTCCAAGGCAGACTGCACTATATAGTTAGTTCTTGAGCAGTTCATTTGCCTTCTCCAACCAAACATTGTAAATATCAGAAGAATAAAGGACAAAGTGTACCTGCAAATAATGTAACAGCACGTCAATGCAAATAATGGAATTCCCATTGCTTTAAAAAAGCCAAGTGTGTTGTTCAGTTGTAGAGCACGTCATTGCAATCCGAGAGACAATCCATAATCCATCAATATTGTGAGATCCCACGTCAGTTGGAAAAGGAAACAAAATATTTTTTATAAGAATGTGAAAATCTCTCCCTATCAGACGCGTTTTAAAAACCATAAGGGGAAGCTTGAAAGTGAAAGCCTAAAAATGACGATATCTGCTAGAAGTGGACTTGAGCTGTTATTTGTATGACCCTTCCACATCTTTACAAACGACAAGAGAATCGCATCCAAGACTTGTTGACCGAATTTCAAAGCATTTTCTCAAAGAACTTGGTCCAGTCGCTTAATGGGGCACGGTCTAGTTTTCATTGTCAAAAAAGTTCCCAAACTCAAAAGGGTCCTCTCGAGGTTACTAGTAGTCAGCAACCTATGATGTCTCATCTTATTGACCACTCTCTGTTAGAAAGAGTGCCACCGAGCTTCAAAAGTGGCTCGAGTAAAGCTAAGAAAGTCTCAAACACTTGAAAGAATGGGCAGAAAGCAGATCAGCATGCAATAGAAGAAGGAACTATAAGAAAACCCATTGACAGGACAGTGCCCCCAAAGATGATCGATCTCCTAGGGCTAACCGAAAACTTCCCAATCAAAGATAAGAGGTCGACGCTAAAGAGGACCGTGATGGAATAATCTAAACATGTCAAAAATACTTTAGGAACATATTCACATACTGTAACAAAAACAAGGATACATTCCCTAAGTACCATAGAACAATGCCTTACCTCTTTCAAGCCATTGGAAAACTCTTTAACGGTTGATAAGGCTATTGTGGCAGCTTCATCAAAAGGATATCTGCAAGTGTATAATAAAAATCACTAAACAAATATTTTCAAGAGGAATCTGGATCAATCAAATCATTAACCAACTAATCTTTTATAGTAGAAAAATGGTATAAACAAACACACACACAAACCCATGCCATTAGAAAACTAAATCAAGAGGAACCTGATCAATCAATTAGGGAACTACTGATTTTTTATAATTAAAAAACGGTATAAAGCTAACGAATGCTGAAATTTCTAAATCAATATCATAACTTACCGATATACACCACAGGATATGGCGGGAAAGGCAATATATTGAATGTTATTCTCCTTTGCCACAGCCAAGGAATTTCTAAATCAATATGGCAATAAAAATGGATAAGTCCTGAATGGTAAATCAAAATGAAAAGGAAGTGCAATTACATAACAAGAACCTATATGCGCTTCTCAATAAGGCCTGGGGGTTACTACTGGCGTTGTAGATGGGTCCAACGGTATGGATTACATGAGATGCTGGCAACCGAAAACCTCTGCATTTGAAGATCACATTAGCATCTACAAACAAAACTAATGGTCGTGATCAGTTACGTACGGAGTAATCCTTGCTTCTCCAGTTGGACAGCGGATTCCAGGTTGGACTTCTTGGACAGAATAACATGCTTGCACGAGATCAGGTCCAGCAGCATTATGTATCGCTACAAAACGATGAGGAAAGAATATTCAAGATGGCAAGTTCGTGTAACAAGTTATAAAACTAAAACACAGTTGAAACTCCATACCTCCATCAGCACCACCACCTCCAAGCATTACTTCATTAGCTGGATTAACCTAAATAAGATTTAAGCCAAAGAAACCGAAGTTTAATAGATTTCATGGGACTGGAAACTCTGAAAAACAAGAAAATACAGGACAAAACATATGGATCTTTCTTACGGATATAGAAAAATTAGTAATAGTTTTGTAATTTTTAAGTTTGAGTTTGTTAGTGTAACGGCCCAAGCTCACCGCTAACAGACATTGTCCTTTTTGGGCTTTCCCTTTCGAGCTTTCCCTCAAGCTTTTTAAAACGCGTATGCTAGGGAGAGATTTCCACACCCTTATAAAGAATGTTTCGTTCTCTTCCCCAACTGATGTGAGATCTCACAGTTAATTTACTTAGTAAGTGGGGTTAAATCTTCTATACATATAGATTTCGTCTACGAACTGAATATGCGAAATGTGAACCAAATCCTGCCCGACCTTAAACCCCTCAATCACCATCCACTCTTTTCTCCACACCTGACAACACGAATCTGCTTAGTTCATCAACCACCAAGAGGAAAAGAAAAGGTCACCTTGCCTTAAACCCACAAGGTAGTTCATTACTTTGATAACCTACTTCTTTATCTTCTTTCTTGGAGCAATGGTTTAGCTTATAATGCAACCACTTTTTGGAGTCAAAAAATATATATATTGGGGAAGCAATTCCTACAGCATCTACCTAAATCTATACAAGTCCCCAATCATTGATGATTCTAGATACCTCCAGGTCGCGAAGCATAGCAATGGGGAAGCAATTCCTACAGCATCTACCCATTTCTTACTTAACTACAAACTTAAAGCGATTCATCAAAAACAAACCATTCCATCATTTGAACAAAAGATGGTTCTGATCATTACTCAAAAACACAGGAGCTTTCAACCGATTACTTCCCACCACCCTTTCCAGTAAGCAAATAAGTATAAACCCTAAATAAAAACAGCCGATTCTGAGCAAAAATAGAAAGATAGAGTCACCGACAATGGCATCAGAAGAACCATCGATGAACCACTTTGTGATGTCACCCTTCTGAATAACGCAGGCGGTTGAGGGAGATACTTTGAAGCGAACCACTCCACTGCCCGATCCATTCGACATTGCCATGGCCAAGATTTTGGCTGTTGATCGTCGGAGAGGAAGCGAAAACGAGAGATTTGAAGAGACGGTGAAGGACTGCAATTGCGACGGCGACACCCGGCGGAAAATCGAGCTGCCCAATGCTACACTGTTCCGCCAAACCGTGCTTGTCATCAGACCGTGCGCCAGGGTGAAATAGAACCTCACGGAACTCCCAATTTTTTTCCCAATTACAATTCTTTTTAGAACACTTTTTCTCACAATTTAGTTGAATTATATTTTAATTTAGTATAAATTACTAAAATATCCTCACATTATTTTCTTTTCTTCTCTTCGTACTCGCTCGCTACCCACCATCCACAAACGTCTTTTGCCATCGGCAGCCATTGGATTTCGTTGTCGCCCACCGAAGACCACCGCCACCATATTTGGTAACCACTATTAGCCACGACCTCCTCAATCGTTGTCATGTCATCCACTACTGGTAACCATTTCGTACAACTACCTATAATGGTGACTGATCATAATATTTTTAGATTTTATAGTTGTCTTTTATAATAGAGAACTCACGAGAAGATCGAAATATGCCGATTACAACAACAATAATCATTATCATTATATGTATCATATCATATCATATATAAATTTGAAAGCCGAGCGGGTGCCAGATTATAACACCACAGCAACAAAGGTGCCATTATTATGGCCATTTTCAAACACAACTCCCTACTTAATCCCTCCCTATCTCTACCATCATCATCCCCACCACTCTCCCAACACCTCTTTAGAAGAACACCACACAATCAAGCTAAAAAAAAAATGAAAAAAAAAAACACCAAATCCAAAGTTCTTTCTTTTTCAATAAAAACTTGAAAAAGAAAGCGAAATTCTCCGACTTTCGATCCTTGATCTTCGATCTCGTTCTCGTTGTTTGTGTTTGTGTGTTTGTTTTTGAAGTAGTAGTTATAATAGTGGTTGGTGTTTAAAATTGAGGGCCTTCATAGGTCCGACCGAACTGCCAATTGGACGGGACGAGATTATAGGCTGTGAGAGTGCGGCCATCGCTGAGGGTGACCTGAAAGGAGAGGCCTTGACCATTGAGGTAGTTGTTGCTTTGCCAGTTTTGGCCCCAATTTCTAGACATCGCTTGCCATCCAGTTCGAGACCCCTTTATCGACACGGCGTGGACGTCGCCAGCACCACCCACGTTCGTGATCAAAACAAGGTTGAAGTAGGAGTGACCGTTAATTGTGAACCTCACCCCACCTTTCTTCATGCATGGCACTCTGTTGAAAAAGTTAGTCATTCAATTTTAGTTCGTAACAAGTTAGTCCTTACACATTAAATTTTTTTTTAACTTTTAATAACTTAAATTATTTATCTTTTATGGAAATTTAAATTCAACTGTTAAAACGCTGGTAAAGGTAGAAAAGGGGTCGGGGAAAAATTTACCTCCGAAAGGAGACGGGGACAATTCCGGCGCGGTATTGAGCGATCTGAAGGAAGGCAGGCTCAGCCATGTCGAAGTGCTGGAGAGGAGGGTTGCACCAGCCGCCGTTGTTGTTGGGGAGGGCAAAGTTGGGGGGGCAGAAGTTGGTGGCGGTGACCCTAATGGTTCCGGGCAGGCACCATTTGGGATCATTTGTGCAAGTCATTTCGAAGCAAGCCCCACAGCTGAGGCCGTTGTTGAACAGCGCGGTGCTTAGCGCCACCGTGTTGGTGCCATACCCTTGGCTGTACAAGTTCCCATACCCACAAGCTCCACCTACATTTAATTATCATTCTCATAATCTCGCTACAACCGCTTATTTTAATCTAACCACGTTTCTAATATAATATTACTATGTTTTTAGAGTCAATTTTTTTTACTAGTAGTAAAAAAATTCTTATTACACTAGTAGTTCAGTTTAAAAATTGAAAATGTCTATTTTCTCCGTTACAGATTACCGACTCTATTCCACTCGTAAAAATAAGTATTTCTACCTACCTGGTCGACGGTTCGTTAAAATTTTGAAAGATGGTTTAATTCGACTCACTAAAGAATATCCAAACACAAAGACAAAAAGGGAAACATTTTAAACTAGTAAGAAACAACTCGAAGCAAACCATGTCCTTCCATAGTTAAAAACGTACTAAACCATTTACGTGGGTTTTAAGTATACAGAGACATACCCATAGTACCAGACGCGTCACCGCCACCGTAAAAGGTGGCATGGCCGCTCTGCCAGCCGCCGTAGTCGGCAACGGTGGAGCGGAGGAAGAGGAAGAAGAGAGGAAGGAGGGAAAATGGCGAGTAAAAGGCCATAGGGTTGGTTTAAAAGTGTAGTGAAAAGTGGGGTTTGTGGGTTAGAAGGAAAGAAGAGGAGATTTATAGAGAAGGATTGGGGAAGAGGCCATGAAAGAGAAGAGATTGTGAGTGATTTAGGAGAGGGTTCGTAAGAGCACATGCCAATGTTTGGGATAAGCTCTCAAAGCTGCTAACAAACTTAGGCCCCACTCGCACATGCTCCTTTCTTCTTACAAACAAATTGGAAAGACGATGATCATGAGACCTCTATTCTTAAAGCTTTTCATTATCGGGCTTCTACTTCCTTGTTTAGGACCATTCAGTAACATTAGGTATTATCATTAACGAATTTGTCGACACCAATCATTGGTGTAATCTTTTAATTAAAACATTTAATGTGTCAGATTAAGCGTAAACTTATGACACTGATAGTGAAAAAAAAAGTGTAGGTTAGCCTCACTTTGGTCAGTTAAGTAAACTGTTGAAAGCTCGTACATCAAACAAGTTGTAGTATATCTTGAACTCTTGGTTTTGAGTTCAATAACGAGTAAAGTTGTCAATCCAAACCTTATTTTTTTAGTTTAAAGTGTCTATGAGACGGGTGGAGACGGGAAACCTTTTTTCTAGCTACCTATTTCAATTATCATCATTGAAAAAAAAAATTATTCATTTTTCATGGAGATTTCTCGCTAGAAATTGAGGATATCATACTCCCTCAAGAATTTTTTTTTTCTTGTTTTATTTATATATATATATATAAAGTAATACAATGTAATAAATCAACTGATATTTCATAAAATATAATATAATATTCTACTCGCATCATTTATTTAAATATATATATTATAACATAGTCTTTGATACTTAATATATATATATAGGGTGGGGTTAGAATTGGGGTGGGATCGAGAATAGGGAATATAATCTCTATCTTCAGCCTGGTTTAGGTAATGAAGAAAATCTTTCTTTGCTCTCTCCCTCATTCCTCATTTAAACTTGAATTTTCTGTCCGGTTATGGGTGGGTCCTGCGCGAGAGATAAGTAGATATTTATATTCTTAGTCGATGATTTATACTGAGTTGAATTATTCTCAATCTAATTTTTCAATTTATTCGACATGCTCGATATCTTTCTACATACTATGATCATGCTACCTACTTTTGTCTTTAATTGTTTTAAGAGTAAATACTATTTTCACAAATCGGTTATTTTATTAAGTTTAATTTAGGTGAACTCTTACTCCAGTTTTTTTTTTTTTTTTATAAAACTCATTTCGTACCTAGATTAAATAAACAAAAAAAACAGATAATAACTAATAAATAAATAAAAGGTCATATGTATGTGTCGGTTACCATGAAATAAAAACATGTTGGGTTTGGTACTTCTTAAAGATTAAAATAAATTTTGGTAACAATTAAAAAATAATAAAAATAATAAAAAAAAAATAGAAATTTTATTGACACCGACCTTATTTTAAACTTTATGCAAAACCTTGGACTAGCAATTTCTCTAAGTCGGTGTGATCTGTTGCAAGAACAGCGGATGATATAGGGAAGTAGCCTAAGCCTTTACATATGGTTTTTTTTTTTTATAGAAGTGGAGGATATCGACATTACACCAAGTTTAATTTCAAAAACTCACTTTAAGAGCTTTACGTTGTGATTGAACAAAGAAAGAGGAGTCTAATGGGAAGGAGCCAGATTTAGGGTTCAAGTTATGTATGGCTAGCACACAACCTACCGGCTTCTTACCCAAAAGTTATCGAAGTAGAATTTGGAAATGTGACGGAGTTCTAGTGAGTCACCCAATTATCTCCCGCAGCAACAAGTCATTTATGACTGACCCACATATGTATCGTAGTTTGTTCAAGCACGGAGTCACTCTACTCATATATATGATGATACTATACACCGACTCTAACAACAATGAGTTGTTTATGACTGGTTTGAACGGGGTACTAGCTAGGTGTTAGGTTGTTTGTGTTCTTTTTTCTTATTGGAGACAATAATTTAATTTGTCATTTGTTTTGAAATGTCTCACTAAGATTTTTCTTGCAACAAAATCTTTGACCGACTCTTTATGAACTTTTGTTATGGTTTTTGCTGTTTATTTAATTTATGTCCGTTTCAGAGGAATACGTACCGATTTGAACTAGAAATCTTCTCCAAAAACGAGTTTAAGATAGTTAACACGAGCATATTTTAATTCGTTAATGCATACGTCATCGACCAAAAAAATTCAGAACTTTACAAAATTTTAAATCACAATATTTGAAGAATGAACTTAATATTGATAATTAATTCGGCACTTAAAATATTATTTAGTCGATTATAACATATGATTCCGGATTAACGTCCAATCAGTCCATGGTTGATAGATCTGCACGTTGTAACAAAGAGAGTGAAGAGATGTGTTGGATGTGACCCTTCACCAAAATAGATTGATCGATGAATTCAATGAAATCTTATAACGATATATTGTTTCAACGATATGTCCTAAACCAGATCCATACAAATAAGATTTATTCAGTCTTCAAACGTTCTAAACTTTTAGAACAAATATCAGTTTTTACCTATAAGTTTGACCACGTAAAATTTTGACTTGTTCGGTAATCAACCTTAAATTTCGTTGACATTGTTAATAAAGAAAAACGTTGACCTAATATGTTTATTACCTCGAGCAATTGTCGGCTAATAGTACTATTGTTACTGTCACGTTGAGATATAGCATTCGTATAATTTATCTTAAAATAAAGAGAGAAACGTTGAAAAAGGAAAAGACGTTAAAAGAACACGTAGACATAAGTTCGAAAATGAATGAATAAATGAATGAAAAGGAAGGAAGTGGTGTCCAAATTGTACAGAAATGTTAATAAGTAATTAAATGCGAGACACCAAATCATAGAGCAACGTATGAATACGACTGTTTGGCAAACATCCATTTATGGTGTTCCAGA